TGGGGGAGAGAAGGCCCTTCCCTTTCAAACTGGGGTGGCCGTCCTTGCACAGCATCCTCCAGAGAAAGGGGTGAGCTGGGAGCAGGCGCTACAGGGTCCCAGACCCCACTGGGGTCCCCCACATCACGGCTGCCACCTCCAGGGGGTCCGGCCACCCTCTGCTCCCCTCCAGCCACCCCCTCAGGGGACCCTTGCCAGCCCCAGCCGCCTGCCTGCCATGCACAGCCGATGGGCCATCGCATGCCGCGGGGCTCCGAAGCTCACTCCATTCCCAAGGGGCTTCTCCAAGCCCCTGCGAGCCCAAAGCACCAGGCTGCTTTTGGAATGTTACCCAGGGTCTGGCAGAGGCACTGGCACTTGGGTTCCTGTCAGCTTGAAGCCAAACTGCAAGGGAATATAAAGTAGCCCCCAATCACTTGATTAAATGTGTCTGAAAACGTCTTTAATTAAGAGGCACGAACAACAAGAGAGCGTTCAGCCTTCCTAAAATTCACTCCATGGGCTGCAGCACAGGTAAACCACCACTTATCTCTGCAAGCTGCCTTAATTAACCCTTTTCAATTAAAGCAAGGCTCATTAACGCTCGCCATTTCCCTGCAAGGCTGGTTGGTGCTTGGCATGGCGAGGCTTCGCTGGGAGCCCAGGACGGAGCCGCGAGGAGCCCGTCCCATCCCCACGCGGGCGATGCCCTTACCGGTGTTGTGAGCCTCCAGCTGGGACAGGGAGTTGACGGTCACTTTGCAGGTGGGACAGTACAGGTGCTGTTTGCTCTTCTTCGCCTCCTTCTCGCTCTCGGGGACCGAGCCAGCGCTGCTGCCCGACTCGGCTGCCTGCGCCTCGGCTACCTGCATGGCCGAAGCCACGCTGGTGGCGTCTGAGGTGCCCTCCGACAGCTCCGAGCCTGGCGGGGAGCCCAGGAGGGTGACGCTGCCCGACTCCTCGGGTGATTCCTCCGTGCTGGGCGGGAGCCCCAGGCTGCTGCACTCTCGCTCCGGCTCTGGCACGCCGTTGGCTTGAGCTGGCAGGGGGGAAAGGAAATGGGGGAAAAAAGAAAGAAATGGGCAGAAAGGGAAAGTTCTCTGTGCTGCAGTTGGTTTTCTGGATTTCAGAGAGCATCCCTGTCTTTCCTAAGACCATCGCAGACCCCGGTTTGTTCACGTTCATCCCTGCTCAGGGTGGCTCTTCCCCAGGTCACTCCCATTCCCGCTTTTATCTGCAGCTGGTGGCAGCTGGACTCAGCACAAAAGCCTGGGCAGATCCCTGGGATGTGTGAGCCCTGCAGGCAAGGAACGCTTCCTCCCCTGCAGCCCTTCCAAACACCTCCCAGAGACACCAAATCACGGGAGGGGACACCCGCCGTGTGCCCCCAGAAGCTGCAGGGACACATAGCGGGCAGGTTCCCCAGGGATACGAGCTACCCTGGCTGCTGGGCTGGATTCCATCCCTTCCCCAGGACGCTGTCCCAGCCAGGCACATCGGGGATGCGGGGATGTCATGCCAGGGATACCAGGTCGAGAATGCCATGCTGGGGCCGGGGATGTGGGGATGCCATGCTGGGGATGCAGGGATGCCATGCTGGGGATGGAGGGATGCTGTGCCGCGGATGCAGGGATGCCGTGCCACGGATGCCAGCAGAGCACACAGCTCGTTTATTAACGCCGCAGTAATTTGCAGCCACAGCAGGGCTGAACACAAACGCTGCTGCACCCCTGGGAACTGGCCAGCTCCGGTGTCACAGCCTGCGGCATCGGAGCCCCCCGCACCCCCTGCCCACATACCTGTGCTGCTGGGCTCCCCGCTGCCCTCCGGGCTGGGGGCGAAGTCAGCTGTGACATCCCGACCGGCAGCCACCG